GGACCATCCAGTGGGGAAAGAACAGTCTTTTCACCGATTGGTTCTGGGACAACTGAATATTCCATGCAAAAGAATGGATTTGGATTTCTGCCTCCGACGACATGCAGAAAATCAACTCACGATGAATCAAAGATCTAAATGTAAGAGCTAAAACTACAAAACCAACTAAAACAGCTTGTAGGACAAAGAGGGAGGAGACAAAAAGAAAAATTGGAATACTAAAAACAAAAATAGAATTATTAGACATGCCAGAATCATGAGGAAAAATAGAAAAGAAGGTAAAAAGAAGAGTAGGCAAAGACGAGAGAGATGGAAAGGGGGTGTGTGTAACGTAGAGCAGAAGGACTCAAGGCCCACTGTGGAGTAGAAAGTAGAAGGGACAGGGCAAGGCAGGCAGCAGGAAGAGCTGTATGTGTGGGAGCCAGCATCACAAAGGGCCCAGCCCAGGTGACTGTGGCCACGCCTGCAGCACCTAGGTGGACGGCGAAGCAGTGAAACAGTTGTACTCGTTGGCTCGTGGTCACTGTTATCTAATAACTGTAAGTCACATTTTATCTGGGATTTCAAAGACTAAATCTATAATTTCCTCTTAACAATATAAATTTAGTTGAGTGTTTTGTGAGCCCTCTTCTGTTTCAAATCCAGCTCTTTGAGTATTGACACACCATCACAGTCTTACTGGTACAGGTACAGGGACCTGTACCAGTGTATCCAGCAGAGGGCATTAGAGTTCTTAGACATCAGCTGGGTACTCTAAAACACGCCCTCCAACAGAGAGAGAAAATAAGCCCTGGGTATCATTTTCAATTTTCTAGCAACCATATTTAAAAAGTGAAATTAACTTTATAATATATTTCATTTAAAAAGTGAAATTATATTTCATTTAACTCAGCGTATCTAAAATATTTTAACGTAATCAATATCTGTAAATTACTAATGAGATCTCTTTTTGACACTAATTCAAAACTCACTGTGTATCCAGTTACAGCATATCTCAATTTGGATGCTAACTTTTCATCAGGAATACTTGATCTGTATTTAGATTATGTAAAATACACTGTTGAAAAACACAAATTCATATCCAAGTTGTTCCAAAGATACTTAAACACAGTTAAAAGTTTTCCGGTAACTAAGGCCGGGCGCGGTGGCTCAAGCCTGTAATCCCAGCACTTTGGGAGGCCAAGGCGGGTGGATCATGAGGTCAAGAGATCGAGACCATCCTGGCCAACATGGTGAAACCCCGTCTCTACTAAAAATACAAAAAATTAGCTGGGCATGGTGGTGTGTGCCTGTAATCCCAGCGACTCAGGAGGCTGGGGCAGGAGAATTGCCTGAACCCGGGAGGTGGAGGTTGCGGTGAGCCGAGATCGCGCCATTGCACTCCAGCCTGGGTAACAAGAGCGAAACTCCGTCTCAAAAAAAAAAAAAAAAAAAGTTTTCCGGTAACTGAATTGAATATCAAGTTTTTTTGTTTTTTGGTTTTTTTGGGGGACAGAGTCTTGCTGTATCACCAGGCTGGAGTGCAGTGGCGCGATCCTGGCTCACTGCAACTTCCATTTTCTGGTTTCAAGCAATTCTTCTGCCTCAGCCTCACAGGTAGCTGGGACTACAGGCACGCACCACCACACCTGGCTAATTTTTTTTGTATTTTTAGGGGAGACAGGGTTTCCCCATGTTGGCCAGGATGGTCTCGATCTCTTGACCTCGTGATCCACCCACCTTGGCCTCCCAAAGTGCTGGGATTACAGGCTTGAGCCACTGTGCCTGGCACTGAATATCAAGCTTTAAGTTTAAAATAAAACTCAGTTCCTTAATCATGCTAACCTCTTTTCAGATGCTCAAAGGGCTTGTGCATCTACTGCTACTGTCCTGGACAGTGCAGCTCTAAGTGATCTGTTTTTACACGCTTTATGATCCAACGATACGTAATCCTCCCATTAGTAACTAAAGTATTGGCCAATAAATTACTCCTAGGCATACATTAAACATTCACAATACTGTGCGGCCGTGTTTAACTTGTGAGCAAGCAGTGGCAAAACCTCCTATAGGAAAACATGACCACACCTCATTCGTGCCTTTGTAGAGCTAAGCAAGATGCTTTAGATCAAAAATTGCCTTGAATTATTTACTTTCATTGTAATCTCTCCTCCAGGCCTTTCTGTGTTTTGATAGAGTTCGTTTGAATTGACTCAATAAATCATTTTGTTTGCTGCAGAATTCCCAAAGGAGAACATTCAGATCCATATACATGAGATTCCTGCTGCATTTAGCCATACATTTGCCAGACTTGTGGGGTCGTTTATTCCTTGTGAAAGCTCAAGTACAGCCCGCAGGGAGGTTTTCAGCTGACCTGGTCGTGTCGAGGTAATAGAATTTAGAATTTGGAAAGGGGGTGGGTACTGGTCTTTACAGTTAACACAACCTAGAGTAGCCCATGTCATACTGGGTCCTTTAAGTCGGTACATTGAGCTAAGTCAGTTATTTGGCAAGGAGTTCTTGTAAAAGACTACATGGCTAAGGTGAGTGCTGATAATTGAAAGGAATTTGTTGACCCACTGAAAAGATGAGAGTAGATGAAACTACCGAAGTCATTCTGCCTGCCCCTGTTAGTTGGCTGGGTGAGGTGTTTTGCCCTGGTGGGCTGTGAACTTTATCTTCATGTTTAAAGTGTGTGTACTGGGGACCAGGGGCCAGGAATGATGTAATCGGTGTAGGTCATTGTCAAGAAAACTAGAAAATGAAAATATTCAAAGGAAGTAAGGTGGTGTAGTGAAAACCTGTCACCCTGGCCTATTGATATTCTGTTATGGTGTTTCTTAATATGTCCCAGGCTATACCTATATAGTCACTCATAGTAAGTGTGTGTTTGTCCAGTGGTAGGAGTGGCCCAAAATATTACATCTTTTCCACCATCAATTGAAACAGCTACTTTCTCCACTACATTTCTTTTTTCTTTTGTTTATTTATTTTGAGATGGAGTCTTGCTCTGCTACCCAGGGGGAAAGCAAGAGAGTCTTGCCCTCACTACAACTTCTGCCCCTGGGTTCAAGCATTTCTCCTGCCTCAGCCTCCCGAGTAGCTGGGATTACAGGCACACACCACCACGCCCAGCTACTTCTTGTATTTTTAGTAGAGATAGAGTTTCACCATATTGGCCAGGCTGGTCTCAAATTCCCGACCTCAGATCATCTGCCTGCCTCGTCCTCCCAAAGTGCTGGGATTACAGGCATGAGCCACCACACCCGGCCTTCCACTTCATTTCTAATTGCCACATTCTCCCTAACTCTGAAAGCTCATGTGCTTGGTAACAGTTTGGCCTGGTTTTAAGCATTTTCTCTGGGGTGTACTGCATTCCTTCACCCCTCCCTCCCCCTTTTGTTTTGGTCATTATTCCCTGAGGTTGAACAGAGTGTCCACTTCCCCTCACCCCACCCTACCCCACCCTCTCCACACACAGCCATAGTTGTTCAGGGTTTTTGAAAACCAAAAAATGCAGGAGTGGGCCTTGCTCCCAGCCCAGGCCTCCCAGGTCGCAAGTGAGTCTGATAACTGTGCAACTGTCTTTGCTGGGAACTCAGGTTTTATTGTCTTTCCAAAAATAATCACATTTTCCTTAAAAAAGAAAAGGCTTTGTATCTCTATATCCAACTTATGACCTGCATAAGTTTTCACGGACTGTGTAATCAGTATATATGCACAATTTGGTTCTTCTTTAACATTCTAATATTGAGCTTCCTAGTTATTTTTAATTGTCGCCAATAGTTATCAGATTAATGTACATCATTGTTAAACACTTCTTTGATGGTTGGCTATCTGCATTATTTCAATATAGGGAATGGAGTGGCTATAAGCATCTTTTAGTATGGTTTAACAAACATTGATCTTTATACAAATACCTTCCCTGACACCCCTTTCCCCATTTTGAAACTCCCTGAGGTGCCACTTTCATAAGTGGGATCACTGGGTCAAAGTGATCAGTTTTATGTTTCTTGATGTGTCTTGTCAGGAGACCCATCTCAATAAGGGCCCTTTGCTACCACAGTGAATCTCCATGTGAATCCACTCCAGGATGGCCACAGTGAGATTTCAGTATCACATCAAACCTTGGCTTCGCATGAAGTTAAGCTCAATCTTAGGAGCTGACCTCTACCCTGCTCACCTTAAGATCGATTTCTCACTAGCGGAGCCCTTCTTTCCTTCCCACTGCCGAGAGAATTCAAGCATCTGTCCAGAATGCCGTTTTATATACTTAACAGTACAGAGAATAGCATCTATTACTTTTCCTAGGCCCACCTCCATTTTTTTAATGCATACTGAGGGCTGATTCTCAGACTTGTCCTAGCCTAAAGCCATGCCTGCTCACAAATTGCAGTCACGCACCGACATCTGGACTTGCTGCCCTTATCAGAAGTATTTCTGATTAAAACCAGAGAGCCAGAAACTAGAGAAAATAGCAAAGAACACCAGGATCAGATAACATGAGGAGGCTTAGTTTGATTTTCTTCTCAAGTATACAGCTCTGTGTACTTCTACTGAAAAATGTGTTCTGGATCAGTGCCATTAAAGGGGTGGCTGTATACCCTCTCTCTGCTTTTAAATCTATGCTCATTTTCCCTTAGCTGTCTTCTGGTCAGGTGCGCTGGATTTTCCAGAAGCCCATTCAGAACTTTTTCCCTTTTCCTCACTGTCCTATTTTTGCACCACTATGTACCCCTCGTAGTTTGCTGGGTCTGTGCCTTTTTACATCCTTCCAGGTACACTCCTAGGACTGGACATCCTTTTTTTTTTTTTGTGGTGACGGCGTTCCACTCTTGTTGCCCAGGCTGGAGTGCAATGGCACCATCTCCACTCACGGCAACCTCTGCCTCCCGGGTTCAAGTTATTCTCCTGCTTCAGTCTCCCAAGTAGCTGGGATTACAGGTGCCTGCCACCACACCCAGCTAATTTTTGTATTTTTAGTAGAGATGGGGTTTCACCACACTGGCCTCAAACTCCTGCCCACCTTGGCCTCCTAAACTGTTGGGATTACAGGTGTGAGCCAGCACGCCCGGCCTGGACATCCTTTTTGTTCATCAGCAGAAATAAGGGTGCTGTGGGTGCAGCTCATCTCCTCGGCTAACCCTAGCAGCGGCTGTCCATCTCGCACTCTCCCCACCACACTTCCCTCTGTGCTGCCAGCAGCAGAAGGAGCACCTGCGATGCAGATACCTCCTTTGTTTGCCAACTTCAGTAGTTTCCCATCAGCTACAAGATCAAGATCAAGTTCCTGTCACCTGGCCCTGCCCACTCTACCTCTACACCACCCTATAGCAGCATCCAGTTCCTTGCTGTTCCCCAAACTTGTCAGGGCTGTTTGGAGCCTTCAGCCTGTACAAGAGCTGTGCCCATCTCCTGGAATACAACCTTTGACCACTTCAAATAATGACCATTTTTCTAGTTAACATTTACTGAGCACTCAACTCTGCTGCATGTGTGCCAACCCTTCACACGCACCACCTCACTAATTCTCACAGCCCTGGAAGGTGGGGACCAGTGTCACACATGGCCTTGGGAATATCACACAGATCAAGGGCTGGGCTCAAGGTCACACACATTCATGTGATGTGAGAATGTAACTCTTGGCCTCCCTGTGACACTTTCTTCTCTGGGTTTTCATTCCACCTTGCAGAGAGCACTCTGACTTACTGTAGCCTTCCGTGTGTGCATCTCCCCTCTCTACTGTGAGCCCCTCAAGAGCAGGACCCAGGTCTTTCCTATCCCTGTCCCAAAAGCTAACCAGGAACAGAAACATGTAGCATATTGTTGACTGAAGAAAGTGCTGCATCCATGGTCATCCCTCATATCCTTTATAAATTTCTTATATATTTCATTTCTTTGTGGGAATTGCATCTTGAAGCTTTGTTTATAGCCATCTGTGTGGGTCCCTTAGGCTATGTGGCTGACTTTAATGCCACAGATATTTTTCCATTTCTGGCATGTAGCAGTGCTGGGCTTAGTATTTTAGAGATTATTAAAGAGAAGACACGGCCTGTGCCCTCCAATTGCAGAGATGAGACCATATGGGACATAGCCATTAAAGACAATACATTTCAGTATTTGCATGGAGAGTTTGATTATATAGCAGATGCACATTCTTTGGACTGATATACAAGGCCCTGCAAGATCTGATTCTAGGCCACTTTCCCGGTTTCATCTACTCCTCTCCCATGGACCCCCCACACCGCGGCCATACCGAGGTGCGTGCAGTCCTTGTAGCCCACCGTGCTTCCAGTGTCACCATTTCTTTGTAGGTGCTGTTCCTTTTGCCTAGAATACCTGTCTTCTTCCTATCTACCTGGCAGCTTCTTACTCGTCTTTTAGAACACCATCTAGTGCCAGTTCTTTCCTTTTTTTTTTTTTTTGCATGGCCTTTCCACATTTTTCTATAGTGTGACCCTTATCACAAAGTCGATTTTGTAAGTTTGCTTTGCCTGTTAGCTGTTAAGCTACTTGAGGTCAAAACCTGTGTCTCAGTGATGGAAAAATGAATGACAAAATAGAAATTGGATAAATGGAAAGGAAAGAGTGATGATCTAACATGGCTGGGGGTCAGCCGGGAATCACTTTCAATGGCCAGAATAGAGAGCTGTATAAAGTGACTTAGAGGCATTAGCGGCTCATTCGCATGTGGAATAAGCTTGGAAGTGGATGGTTAAGTGTTGGTGTGGGTGCCACAATATCATCAAGAGCCCAGGCTCTGCCACACAGCTTGACCGCCTTTAATGCGAGGCTTCCCTCTTAGGGTAACCTCATGGCTCAAAACAGTTGCTGCAGCTGCAGCCATCTTATCCATTCCAGGCAAGAAGGACTAGAGAGGTCAGTGGGTAAAGAAAAAGCGTACTTTCCCTGAAGGCAGCCTCCTTCAAACAGATTTCTCAGGGTCCTTTACCCAGGAGCTTCATCTTCATCTCAGGCCAGGATGTAGTCACATGATCACCTCTGGCTGAGTTCTGAAGAGAGATGTAAACATACAGTAATAAACATAGGTTATCTCCACATTTAATTTAAAATGGCATTGCTTTTCAAAACAGATTTTAGATCTAAATATACATTTCTCAAAAAAAAAAGCCACAAAATAGCCAATAAGAGTATGAAAGGATGCTCAATATCATTAATCATTAGGGAAATACAAATCAGAACCACAATAAGACATAATTTTTCATCTACTAGGATAGCACTAGAGTCAAAAAGACATAATAACAAAGTGCTGGCAAAGAGAGAAATTGTAACTCTCATAACGCCACTGGTGGGACTGTGAAATGATACAGCACTCTGGCAGGCCCTCACAAAGTTCAACACTGAGTTACCATATGACCCAGCAATCCCACCTCAGGTATAACACACAAGAGAATAAAAACATACCCCCACACAGAAGCTCGTGTATGCATATTCACAGCAGCACTATTCATAATAGCCAAAAAATAAGAATAACCAAAAAGTCCTCCATTAACAAATGAGTAGATCAAGAAGTTGTGGTATATTCACACAGTGGAATATTATTCTGCTATAAAAAGGAATGAAGTATTGATACATGCTATAACATGGATGAATTTCAAAAACATTATAGCAAGTGAAAGAAGCCAGTCACAAAAAACATAGGTGATGATCTTATTTTTATTTAATGTCCAGAACAGGCAAATACATAGAGACAGAAACTAGATGAATGGTTGCCTGAGGGTGAGGGGAAACAAGGAGTGACTGATGCTGGGTTTTGTGTGGAGGCAATAAAATGTTCTAAAATTAGATACTAATGGTTGCATAACTCTGAATATACTAAAAACCATTGTATACACATTAAAAAGGGTGGATTGTATGTGAATTATATCTCAGTAAAGCTGTTCAAGAATTCAGCTTTTATCTGTAAAGCATAGCTTCAAAATTAACCTCAAAAAGTGAACTGGGGGCAGGGGAGACAAGTTTCCCAAACCAGTTAATATTTCAAGACTTGTATTAGTTATCTCCTTCTTCTCATTTGAGTCCTGACTTTAAAAGAAAAAAATCTGCCCTTCACAGTCAGGGTCAGATCCCTCTGGCTGATCGCCCAGATGACTGGGATCTGAGTGGTTTCTTTGTCCTACGGACTTATCATTTCAAAAACAAAGCTCTTTTTTCCAGTCTGCAAAGCTGAGGAAGAGAGATGCTAGGGGGTCAACAAATAGTTATAGGAAGTCACTTTATCTGCAGACCAGCAGGTTGCTAGAAGGGTTTGCTCTATGGGGCTCATGTTCCTTGGAGATTTTGTTACTGATAGATGGGCAGAGGCAGGTCAGGGGCCATGGTGTTTGGAAAGTAGCGTAGTGTTTGGAAAGGCCTCAGTGCCAGAAGTCTGCATATGGGTGACTCCCAACCAAGAGGTCTGATTCCTCAGCAGAACAAGAAAGATGATAGCCTTCTCACCACTGGGTGGGCACACGAGCTCATGGCCATGAGCCTGCCCCATAAACACTGAATGTGGGCACCAAGCAGGCTGTCCTAGAATGGCAAACTTGGGGTGGCTCCAGTGGGGACAGAGTTTGAAAAGGGAAAGGGAGCATTGTCTAGTGGAAAAGAAGACATAGGTTTTGGCTGGAGTGGTTGTCAGGATAAAAGGTGGTTGAAGAGATAGTTGGACGGCTGCAGTCACTGACAAGTGTGGTCAGAAGCCTTGAGCCAGCAGCTCTTCTTGGTGAGTGGGCTGGTTAGAGCTGTTGGAGTTGGACAACAGGAACAGCCTGTTGCATCAAGATGCTGACGATGGCCATCAGCAGAGAGGACAGACCCCCCCCCCCACCCCTCCTGCTCTAAGTCTCCCTCAGGTTGACCTTTGCTATGTGCTCTGGATTTTTGAGTCTTTCACGAAGGCTCACGCTCTCACAAAGTCCCTCGGGAATTACAAGAAACAAATGGTTTTTGTGTAGCATAAGATGTGACTAGTTTTAATTTGATATATTGTTAAAGACTACTATCAGTTCATTTTGATCAGAAAAATGAAACTTTTGGGATCTGGTTACAAATCCTGACAGTGCATTTACAGGTTTTTCTAGCCATTTTTGTGCTCATTAAATTGTTATTTATGCTTCGTCTCTTCAATCAGTGGTCTATTTTTGGTTAAGTTAAGAAGGTAAAAATAAAGCACAATGTAGAAATATGTCAGGGTGAAAATTACTGTAGTATTAAAGTGGAAAAATATTTATTGTAGTCCATTGATTTTTCAGGCACATATTTTCCACACTTTAACATCTCTGAAATTGTGATACGTCTTACAGTCAATGGCAGCTTACATTCATTTTTCTCTTATATGATGGTGCATCTTTTGATCAATAATGTCTTGGATTTGATGAAATCTGGCAAGTTATATTAGTTATTGAGCTTTGAAAATGCATTGCCTCATTCTTTCCTGTCTGCTCTCAGATGTACGTGTTGGATAATTCCATGCCCATCCTGGCATTGCAACCAGGAGCTTCTGCATTCCTTGCCTCCAGAGAGAACCAGTGAAACATCTTTTTGTTCTTGCAGGTTCTTATCAGTTGACCACAAGTAGATCTTCCACCCTCAGATCTCTAACTACAAAAGGTGCAATGGGACCCTTCCCTCTTCCCCAGCCCTTCCATTACCGCAGCCCCCCCAGGGTCCTATACCCAGTTTGTGTGACTGTCCTTGAAGCTTTCCTGGAACCATACTTATCACCAGACCCTTCCCAAAGTGACTCACTAACACTGATTTCTCTGATGCTGTCTCTGGGTACGTAAGGGAGGAGGGACATCCCCTTGCCCTACTGTGGGGAAAGTGACTAACTCTTTTCTTGTCCTTTCCAGATAGGAACCACTGGCTCAATGACCTGTAAGGGCCATTTCAGCACATCCATTCTGTTTATCTCCAAGCCTTCACCATAGGGAAGAACTTTTGCTCTCGGTCACCTCTCAGAGAGCTCTCTTTATAGCTGAAGATCTCCCTCATGAGTTACGTCAAGAGTAACCGAGAACTATACCAACAATACACAGCCATGGCCCCCAAGCTACTGGCCCACATCTCCAAACTCCTCACGATCTGTCATAATGCAGGCATTTCTATACCGAAGGGCATCAGAAACATCTTTGAGTTTACTTGGGAAGAGCTCATCAGCGACCCTTCAGTGCCTACCCCCTCTGACATCTTGGGCTTGGAGGTCAGCTTTGGAGCCCCCACGGTGGTGCTCATGGAACCCACCGTTGTGCAGGTCCCCACACTGAAGAAGCCATTACCTCCGCCACCAGCAGCAGCACCATGTCCAGTGCTGCCGGCAACCACTAGGGCAACCAAGCGCTCCACCCGGTCTGCCACCATGGCCCATCAGGTGCCCACCCACCAGGAGATCCTAAACAGGTTTCAGCAGCAGTCCATCCACCTGCTGACAGAGCTTCTCAGCCTGAAGATGAAGGCCATGGTGGAGTCTATGTCGGGTAAGGCCCAGATGTTTGTGTTTGTGCCCACCACAGACAGGCATCTCAGAGCCACGTGCTGGGAACATGTGGCAACTGTGGGTCTGCTGTAGGAATTGGATGCCTTCCCTCTACGGCTCCTGGAACCATCCTGTCCTCCCTGTTCTCCCATTTTTCCTGCTATTGCCCCAGTTTTGCAGAGCCCGGATTGGAAGGTTAGCAGTAGAAATGGTGCAAGGTCAGAAACACTAAGGGGTAGTGTTTGTGAGAATGATACTGAGGTAGGGAGACAGCACCCAGGTCCAGGTGGCATGTGAAGTTTTCAAATCAGGAGGGCCAATTGGGAAGTAGCCAGACAAAGCCCAGTAGAGCCAGAACGAGGGAGAGTTATAAGAACTGGGTTCCCAGGCTGGGCATGGTGACTCATACCTGCAATCCCAGCACTTTGGGAGGCCAAGGCAGGAGGATCATGAGGCCAGGAGTTCAAGATCAGCCTGGCCAATATGGTGAAACTCTGACTCTATTAAAAATACAAAAATTATCCAGGCATGGTGGTGTATGCCTGTAATCCCAGCTACTCTGGAGCCTGAGGCAGGAGAATCACTTGAACCCGGGAGGTGGAGGGTGCAGTGAGCCAAGATTGCGCCACTGTACTCCAGCCTGGGCAATAGAGTGAGACTCTGTCTCTAAAAAAATAAATAAAAAAATAAGAACCAGTCCCTTCAAGGCAAGGGCATCATCCCAGGATCAAGGCCAGGACCTAGAGCAGCACCAGTGATTGAGCCTTCTGTATGCTGTGTCATTTCAGAAAGCAATAGCATCAGTACCCAGGCCTATGGGTAGGAAGAGAGACAGGCAAAGGGAGGAAAGCAAAGCAACACCTGAAGGGTCCTGAGAGCTTGAGAGCATTTCACAGTGGCCACCCACAAGCCTGCATACCCTAGGAATAGCACTCCACTCCATTCTTCTTTCCTGGGCCGTTTACAGAGGTCCTTTTCAGGAAGTATTAACCCTGTGCTAGGAGGGACATGTGTTGCTTTCAATCATTGCTTTAGTGGGTGCCAACCCCTTGGACGTCACCAGGCGCTTTGTGGAGGCCAGCCAGCTCCTCCACCTCAACACCAAGGAGATGGCCTTCAACAGCCTGATGGGCACAGCCGGGAGAAGTGGCTACAGCAGTGGACAGCTGGGGAAAGGTGGGTACCTGAGCTTCAACCCTTAGGTGAGAAGTGGAAACAGTATCAATAAGAATGCAATGGAAAGGCAAAATACCCAGTTTGAAGGTTTGACATTTCCAACAGTTGAGATGGTTGTGGAGCAACAGGGATTTTCAAATGCTACAGGTAAGTGGGTGAATTGGTGCAATTCCTGTGGAGAGTGGTTTGGGGGTATCTGCTTGCTGGACGATGGCTGCGCTTTACAACCCAGCAGTTCCTCATAGAGGTCGTTCCCTAGAGCTTTGCTCTCAAGCTACATGTAGTGAAGGACTCATGTTTAAAATTTTCAATCTGTCGTGGACCGACCCTTTTAAACACATGATAAATGTCACAACAGTGTCAAGTTGCTACACAGGCCACTCAGTGCCCACCTTCAGTTTTTGTGCTCACCTGATCATGGCCTATGTGGGTCAGTGCCAGTCAACAGGCTGGACGCAAGTCACATAGCCCGAGGGAAGCTCACACACATATTCAAGAAGTCATACAAGAATGTTTATTGCAGGCAGGCATGGTGGCTCATGCCTGTAATCCCAGCATTTTGGGAGGCCAAGGCAGTAGGATCCCTTGAGTCCAGGAGTTCAAGACCAGCTTGGGTAACAGTGAGCCTCTGTCTTTAAATTAAAAATAAAAAAAGAATGTTTATTGCAGAATTCCTTGGAATGGCAAAAAATTTATCAGAGTGTTTATCAATAAGAGAAAAAGATATAAATTATGGTCCATTTAGACAGTGGGACATAATCAATCATGAAAATCAGTGAGGCACTAAAACATACATATTCAGAGAGAGAAATCTCCAATAGTAGTATTAGGCAAAAAAAAAAAAAAAAAAAAAAAGAAGCTATGGAAGGATATTATTTTTCAAAGTTTAAAAGCATGTAAAGTAATAATATACTATTTATAGGTACATTAAAGTGCAAGTATAAAAGCATGAAGGGGGAGATTCGCGGAAGTGATCTCTGGGTAGCGAGAAGGGGAACAGGATCTGGAAGAGAGCAATCAGTTCAATTGTGTCTGTAATGTTCTTTTGTTGCCATTTTCTCACCCAGTACACCTCTCCCTGCCTCTCTCTCTCTCTCCTCTTTCTCTCTCTCTCTCTCTCTCTCTCTCTCTCTGTGTGTGTGTGTGTGTGTGTGTGTAGTGAGAACACAAGATATACTGCCTAAGCAAATTTCAAATGTACAATACAGTGATATTAACTGTAGTCACTATATATTAGTCATGCTATATATTAGTTCTCCAGAACACATTCCTCTTATAACTGAAAGTTTGTGCTCTTTGACTAATATCTTCCCACTCCCCCGCTGCCACCCTCTAGTCCCCACCAACCACCATTCACTCTCTGCTTCTATGAGTTTGACCATTTTAGATTCCTCATATAGGTGAGATCATACAGGATTTGTCTTTGTTTTTCTGGCATTTTTATTCAGCATATAATGTACTCTAGGTTCACTCATGTTACAGCAAATGGCAGGATTTCCTTTTTTGTAGCTGAATCGTATTTCTCTCTCTCTCTCTCTCTCTCTCTCTTTCTCTCTCTCTGTGTGTGTGTGTGTGTGTGTGTGTGTGACGTTTTCTTTATCCATTTATCCTTTGATAAACACTTAGCTTGTTTCCATATCTTGGCTATTGTGAATAATACTGCAGTGAGCATAGAACTGCAGATATCTCTTTGAAATACTGATTCCTTTTCTTTGGGTAAATACCCAGAAGTTGAATTGCTTTATCATAAGGTAGTTCCATTTTTAAATTTCTGAGGAACTCCATACTGTTTTCCATAATGGCAGCACCAATCTACATTCCCACCAGCAGCACGCAGGTTTCATTTTCTCCATACTCTTGCCAGCACTTGTTAGCTTTTGCCACTTTGGTAATAGCCATTCTAACAGATGTAACGTGGTATCTCATTGTGGTCTTGATTTGCATTTTTCTGATGATTACTGACATTGAGCATTTTTGTCATATACTTATTGGCCATTTGTGTCTCTTCTTTTGAGAAATGTCTATTTGGGTCCTTAATCCGTTTTTAAATCAAGTTGCTTATTTTTTTGCTCTCTAATGTTTTATATCTTAAGCTCGGTGAATACACAGGTGTTCATTCTGAATGCCTAAAATTACTCACTGGTGAGAGACTATAGGGAAGCATAAAAAGATTATATCTCCCAACCATTTGCCCTCACCTGTAGAGTCAGTCCCCATTCAACCTCTTTCCCTGCCCACTGAGTCAGTATCTTTGTCAGGCTCCCCTGATGGTCAGATATTAAACATCTGATGATATACACACACAGTGCAAATAAATTGCATAGAAAAATTGCAGATCTTGGGGAAAAAAATGTAGCATTTCATGCAGTCAGTGAAAGTGATGCTGGAGAGCCGCAGAATGCCCCTCCGCCGCCCCTGATGGCTGATGGGGTACAGCGGTACTAGCCACCTGCTGCAGAAGGGAAAACCGAAGACAGCATCATGACTCCATGGAGAAAGGATGTTTGGGGTATCAAAGAGTTAAAAATAAAAAGCAGTAAAGCTCTTGAATAATTTTGCGAAAGGCAAATATGAAGGGACTTATGTTTTATTGCCATGATACAATCATTCAGGAAGAAACCACACTGCCTCGAAAAACCCAGCAGTCATTTTTATTTTCTTTATAAGACTTAATGTGTTCTTAGAGTATCAACTAATTTTAAAAAATACAAGATAAAAGGTTATTTTGATGATTTTGGATTTCTTTTCTAAGACAGAGTTGTGATAAAACACCTCTCTCCCCAGTGTTTATCATGAAATGAAGATCTCTGTTTTAGGGGGATTTCTGCTGCGCCCGTTTTGTTTAGGATCAGCTAGGCTTTGAGGCCTCTAGTTATGCTGTAATTATTTGTGCAGGTGGTGATTGCCAGACAAAGAGCTCTGTACCTTGCATGCTATTTTGGGGCTTAGAGATCTCCCTCATTTTGGGGCACACCTGCTAAGTAGTCTGTTGCACATGTATGAGAGTCCCATGACAGCTATCAGGGTAGCTCCAGCCCAACCCTGGGGCCTCACACCTGCCTGAGCCACTCCTACCTGAATAGTGTCCTCACCTTTAAAAGGAAACCGGTCCTCACCACTAACACTCATAAAGCATTTCAGCATTCTTTAAGGATGAGGGAGGCGCAGTTGCTTCTGGCATCTCCTGTGGGCTGTGATTCATCTAATGGAGGAGAATGGGAAGAGAACTAAGCCGAGCTGGGGGCAGGGAGCTTTTTGGGTGATCTCTGCATCTTGTTGTCCTGCTGCGAGAGCACCCCTCTGCATCGCACTTTGTCCTGTGCTGTCCTGTGCTGAGATCGCCCCTCTCCATCACACTCCCTAGCAAGCCTCCCTGTCTTGGCACTTGCCAGTGCAGATGCTCCCCTCTTTAAATAAGCCTAGAGTTTAAAGACAAAAATGTAAGTAGCAAAACAAAAATGAAAGAGTGATCCATTTCTTTTGGAGAAACATTCATTCATGCTAAAAGGACTTTACTTAGATAGCTCTCCTGGGGCATAAAAAAGAAGAGTCAAACTCTGATGATTTGCTTTGCATGAATTGTGTTTTTCTGGACCACCCTCTTATGTGAGGTAGACCAAAGCTGTAACAGGTTTAGAGTATCTCTCTTTTAAAGTTGTGACCAGGCTGGGCGTGGTGGTTCATGACTGTAATCCCAGCATTTTGGGAGGCCAAGACAGGATCACTTGAGGCCAGGAGTTCAAGACCAGCTTGGCCAACATGGTAAAACCCCGTCTCTCTCTCACACACACACACACACACGCACACACACACACATACACACACACACACACACACACCCCAAAACCAGTTGGCCAGCCATGGTGGCACATACCTGTAGTCCCAGCTATTCAGGAGGCTGAGGCAGAAGAATTGCTTGAAGATGGGAAGCAGAGGTTGCAGAGAGCCAAGATTGTGCCACTGCACTCCAGCCTGGATGGCAGAGTGAGACCGTCTCAAAAAAAAAAGCTGTATCCAGAATATCCCCTGTGCTATGTAGTCTTCCCTCATGTCCTGGTACCCACGAGCCCTGCCTTGTCACTGAAGAGAACCAGACTGCTCCTTTATTTTTAGTTGATGACAATATTATTATTAATAATGCAAAAAAGAGGGGCCGGGCACAGTGGCTCACGCGTGTAATCCCAGCACTTTGGGTGGCTGAGGTGAGCATATCACGAGGTCAAGAGATCAAGACCATCCTGGCCAACATGGTGAAACCTCGTCTGTACTAAAAATACAAAAATTAGCCGGGCATGGTGGTGTGCATCTGTAGTCCCAGCTGCTCAGGAGGCTGAGGCCGGAGAGTCATTTGGTCTCAGGAGGTGAAGATTGCAGTGAGCGGAGATTCACGCCACTGCACTCCAGCCTGGTGACTGAGTAAGACTCTGTCTAAAAATAAAAATAAAAATAAAAATGCAAAAAAGAGAAAGCCATCTTTATATAAGAGCTATTTTTCACCTTCGCAGTTTCCTTTGTGGTTCCTGTGCTCATATATGGATATATTTTTTTAGGGTATTGCAATTTCTCTGTTTCTCAGTTTCTTTTACTTAAGTACAACTATTTTCTAAATTGGCTATATACTTAAATAATTGTCATTTTGAGTAAGTACAGACTCCTTTTAATGTTCATGTTCCACATTTACCTAAATGCTTAGGTTTCCAGGCTTTTTTGTTATTTGTATGATATGTGCTGTAATAGGCAACTTTATGCATGTGGCTTCTTATTTCTGTTGTATTTGGTTAACTTTCCAGGGGAGGGATTATTGGAGCAGAGATCTCAGTATGTATATGGCCTTCTTCTGAATCACACTTAATTTGGATTCTCTCTACACAAACAGGGTTGATGGGCTTTATTCTTTCTTTCCCATTACTGGCTATTGTTAGTTCTTTTCATTTCTATCAAGGTAGAATGTCCTAAAAGTTGTTCTAATTTCAACTTTTGGATCACCAGAGATGATTACTCTTGTGTTTTATCATCCAGTGTGGAATCTCTATAGTCTTTGTCCGCTTAGAAGGTCAGGTTTGTCATTTTCTTTTTGTATTTGAATGAGCTGTGATGAGTGAATCATCTAACATTTTCTAATAATGGTTTCATGCCTAACCAGTGAAATGACTATATTTGGGGGAAGAATAAACAGATGATTTGGTGAGGTTTGTGTAAGAATGAACAATATTTTCCACTAGCCATAAGCGTGCTACATTTTAATTCTTAAGTGGCCAGATATCTACTGATTCTATACAAGATGGTGTGATTCTTTAAGAGACTGATATATTATTGAAGAAGCATCTGATTTCTGTGGCCTAGATAAGTGAGAATAGATGATTCTTAATTTCCTTCTTGCTGGCCCAAGGTTTATCCTCTCGACCTGGTGCAGCACTGTTATCTGCCTTTGCCCTTGGAGTAATATCACCTTTTTTGGCTGCTTGCTGTTCCTTGCTCCAAGGTCCCTCTCGAGAGTTGGGGAAGAGGAGCACTGCAGAGGAGAACTGTAAAGATTACCCCTAATTGCTCTGAGCCTACTGATGCGTTGTAAAATCTCCTTCTTCCAAGATCTAGGTGTTTTGTAATAACGCAGCTCTTTACAATATCTGACTCACTGTACTACTATAACAAGAAACCCATGTTACATTTTTTGCTAATAAAATAAACAATTGAAAGAAGAATCTCTCTCTCTCTCCCATTCCAGAATTTCTCACAAACATGTCTGCCATTGGGGTGAACTCACCTTACCAGCTGATCTACCAGTCTTCCACAGCCTGCCTGAGCTTTTCTCTCTCTACTGGAAAAGAAGTCAAGAAAAAAATAGGTAAAAATGGTTCCCAGCAAGACCTTGTGGCCAACCATTGGTGGTGGTGGTGGGTTAGGGAATAGAAGGTTTCCGTCTAGCCTGCGCAGGTGTGGGATGGTTTGATTGGGTCTTCTGATTGGAAGGATACGTGGCGGCTCTGCCTGGAGATCTGACAGCTGTCCACACAGATTTGCTGATGGAAATGTTGTCACAGCTCAGCCCCATCACTGCATAGCACAGGCTCATCATTTCAGTTTGTGCATGCCCTACATTCTCAGCGATATGGCATCCCTCCCCAGGACAACACCCCACCAAATCCATCTCTTCCACCCCCTACAATATCCCAAACTCACTCCTCTGCTCAGACAGCTCTGTCCAGTCACACAGCAAGTGGGGGAACTAGTATCTGAACGGAGGTATTTGGAGTCCAAACCTGGCAGACCTCAGTTGCACATTCCAAATTGGGCAAGTTTTTGTGGGCAGGAAACAGACAAAGAAGATAACCCTTGTTGTACTGAGGAATACACACAGGAGAGGCTTCAAGGAGAGAACGGGGCAGAGGAAGGCAACCAGTGAAACACCACCTGCTCAAGAAGAAGCTCAGAGGGGAGACAGGCTGGGGCTGCAGAAAGCAGGGCAAGGCCTGGCAGAACTCCCAGACCCACCCTGCTAGCCATGACAGAGGGGTTGTGGGGACAGGGTAGGTAGGAGAGGACTGTGTTCCTGAAGGTGGTGGGAGGGTGGACGGCAGGCAGGAATGCTCAAGCTGTCCAGCTGATTCCCACAGACACTAGAAGTAAGACTGGAGGCCAAGGAGCTTGGATTTTCTCCGTGTCCCCCCGCGGCTGACTATGTGACCCACCTAAAAGGGGGATGGTCATCGTGGGTGTGCCTTGTATTGCATTACTCACCATATCAAGCTGATCCTATACTCTTGCAGTTAGTGAACAAATGGCTACTCAACACTTGCTAACTGTCAGTCTGTATACCAAATGCTGGGGATACAGACGTGGACTCTTAAGACAGAAAATGCCTTTGAGCAAGGAGCTGACCTCTGCTTCTGGGCACAGAGTAGCTTCAGCGGCCGCCTCTCTTTCCTGACTGCTTTACTTGTGTTGATGTTCTTCATCTCATTGTGGTGCAATAACCCACAGCACTATTGCCAGCACCCCACTGCATGTGCACCTGGCTTGGTACTCCATTATCATGTGCCCCCCTGAGCTGGCCCTAGATCTGGCCCTGTGATCCCACAGTCAGTTTGAGGAAAAAGAAAGTACCCTCAAGACCCATGGTGATTTAATGACTTTTTCGTCCTAATGAACCTGAGGGTGACGTCTTGGGCGAGGTTGCTTCGAAGCAAAAGTTAAATACAGAAGTCCTCCTTATCCAGGGTTTTCCCTTTCTGTGGTTTCAGTTATCCATGGCCATCTGTGGTCCAAAAATATTAAGATATTTTGAGGCAGAGAGAGAGGGACCACATTCACATAACTTTTTTTAATTTAAAATTTTTGTGGGTATAGTAGGTGTATATATTTATGGGTTACATGAGATATTTTGATACGGGCACACAATAGTCACATGAAGCTAAATGGGGTGTCTGTCACCTTAAGCATTTATCCTTTGTGTTTACAAACAATTCAATTGTACTTTTTTATTTATTTAAAAATATATAATTAAATTATGTTTGACTATAATCACCCTGTGTGCTATCAAATACTAGGTTTTATTCATTCTTACTATTTTTTTGTACCCATTAACCTTCCCTACTCCACACTACCCTTCCCAGCCCCTGGTAATCATCTGCTCTCTATCTCCATGAGTTAACTGTTTTAATTTTTAGCTCTGATAAATGAGAACATATGAAGTTTGCCTTTCTGTGTCTGGCTTATATCATTTAACATAATGATCTCCGGTTTCATTCATGTTGTTGGAAATGCCAAGATCTCATTCTCTTTTTATGGCTAACTCTATTATATATATGTATCACGTTTTCTTCATTTGTCTCTTGTTGATGGACACTTAGGTTGCTTCCAAATCTTGGCTATTGTGAATGGTACAGCTGTAAGCATGGGAGTGCTTAATATCTCTTAATTTTACTGATTTCGCTTCTTTCAGGTATATACCTAGGAGTGGAATTGCTGGATTGTATGGTAGCTCTATCTTTATTTTTTTGAGGAACCTCCAAACTGTTCTCCATAATGGTTGTGCTAATTGACATTCCCTCCAACAATGTATGAGGGTTTCCTTTTCTCTGCATCCTCACCAGCATTTGTTGTTGCCTGTCTTTTAGACAAAAGTAATTTTAACTTGGTAAGATGATATCACCTTGTAGTTTTAATTCGCATTTCTCTGACTATCAATGATGTTGGGCACCTTTTCATATACCTATTTGCCATTTGTATGTCTTCTTTTGAGAAGCTTATTCTTGTTGGCACAAAAAGTAAGAGAAATATCTATTTAGATCTTTTACCCATTTTTCAATCAGATTATTAGATTTCTTCCTATAGAGTTGTTTGAACTCCTTATGTATTCTGGTCATTAATCCTTTATCAAATGGGTAGTTTGCAAATATTTTCCCCCATTCTATTGGTTGTCTCTTGACTTTGTTGATGGTTTTCTTTGCTGCGCAGAAGCTTTTTAACTTGATGTGATCTGGTTTGTCCATTTTTGCTTTGGTTGCCTGTGCTTGTGGGGTATTACTAAAGAAATCTTTGCCCACTCCAATGTCCTGGAGAGTTTCCCTAATGTTTTCTATTAGTATTTAATAGTTTGTGGCCTGAGTCTTTAATCCATTTTTATTTTATTTTATATATGGTGAGACATAGGGGTCTTTTGTTTCAAGAATTTTTTTTCATTTTCTTCTTAATTTCTTCATTGACCCACTGGTCATTTAGGAGCATATTGTTTAATTTCCATGTATTTATGTAGTGTCCAAAATTCTTTTTGTGAGTTCTAGTTTTATTCTGTTGTGGTCAGAGAAGATGGCTGCCGTTATTTCAGGGGATTTTTAAAAATATGTTTTAAGACTTGTTTTATGACCTAACATATGATCTATCTTTGAGAATGATCCATGTGCTAAGGAAAAGAATGTGTACTTTGCAGCCATTGGATGAAATGTTCTGTAAATATCTATTAGGTCCATTTAGTCTGTAGTGCAGATTAAGTCTGTTATTTCTTTGTTGATTTTCTGTCTGGAAGATCTGTCCAATGCTGAAAGTAGGGTGTTGTTATCTCCAGATATTATTTTATTGGGTGTTTCTCTTTCTGTAGCTCTAATAATACTCGCTTTATATATATGGGTGCTCCAGTGTTGGGTATGTATGTACATATATATTTACAATTGTTGTATCTTTTTGGTGACTTTTTTATTATATAGTGACCTTCCTTGTTTCTTCCAATAGTTTTTGTTTCAAAATCTATTTTGTCCAAGTATGGCTACTCCTGCTCTTTTTTGGTTTCCATTGGCATGTAATATCTTTTTTTCATTCCTTTATTTTTCAGTCTATTTGCATCTTTATAAGTGAAGCATGCTTCTGATCATTTGTTCTTGTTTTTCATCCATCCAACAATTGTATGTCTTTTGATTGGAGAGTTTAGTCCATTTACATTTAATGTTATTATTGATAAATAAGGATTTACTCCTGCCATTTTGTTGTTTGTTTCCCTTGTTGTTTTGTAGTCTTCTCATTCTTCTTTCCTTCCCTCCTGTCTTCCTTTTACTGAAAATGATTTTCTCTGGTGGTATGATTACATTTCTTGTTTTTTATTTTTTGTGCATCCATTATGTTTTTTTTTTTTTAATTTGAGGTTACCATGAGGCTTGCAAATACTATCCTATAACTCATTATTTTAAGCTGATAACAACTTCATACTGTTTGCATAAACAAAGAAACAAGTAAAAAGAAAACTAATAAAACTCTACACTTTATCTCCCCACATTTTTATTGTTTCTATATTTATCATATTGTACTATATCTTGAAAAGTTGTTGTAGTTATTATTATTATTACTATTATTATTTTGAGATGTAGTCTTGCTCTATTGCCCAGGCTGTAGTGCAGTGGCACATCTTGGCTAACTACAAGCGCCTCCTCCTGGGTTCATGTGATTCACCTGCCTCAGCCTCCGAAGTTGCTGGGGCTACAGGTGCACATCACCACACACAGCTAATTTTTGTATTTTTAGTAGAGATGGTGTTTCATTATGTTGGCCAGGCTGTTCTCCAACTTCTGACCTCAAGTGATCTGCTCGCCTCGGCCCCCCACAGTGCTGGGATTACAGGTGTGAGCCACCACACTGGCCTGTAGCTATTATTTTTTATCAGTTCATCTTTTAGTTTTTCTACTTGGGATAATAGTAGTTTATACACCTCAGTAGCAATGTTGTAATATTCTGGCTTTCTCTGTACTTACTATTACCAGTGAGTTTCATACTTTCAGATTATTTCTTATTGCTCATTAACACCTTTCTTTCTGATTGACCTACTCCCTTTAGCATTTAATGTAGGAGAGGTCTGGTGTTGAGTCTAGGAAAGTCTTTATTTCTTCATGTTTGAAGGATATTTTCACTAGATATACTATTCTAGTGTAAAAGGTTTTTTTCCTTCAGCACTTTAAATATGTCATGCCACTCTCTCCTGGCCTGTAAGGTTTCTGCTGAAAATTCTGCTGAAAAGTATTGGGAGCTCCATTGTATGTTATTTGTTTCTTTTCTCTTGCTACTTTTAGTGTCCTTTTTCAGGATTATTGACCTTCGGGAGTTTGGTTATTAAATGCCTTAAAGTAGTCTTCTTTGGGTTAAATCTGCTTAGTGTTCTATAACCTTCTTGTACTTGAATTTTATATCTTTTTCTAAGTTTTGGATGTTCTCTGTTATTATTTCTTTGAATAAACTTTTACCTCATCTCTTTCTCTACCTTATCTTTAAGGCCAATAACTCTTAAATTTGCCCTTTTGAAGTTATTCTCTAGATCTTGTAGCCATGTTTCATCCTTTTTTTTCTTTTTTTTTTTTTTTTGAG